ATGCGCTTTGTTGCGAAAAGTTTGAAAGTGTGGTCTTTTAGAGCCATCCTGAAAGAAAAACAAAGGCCATCTGCCAGCGCTGTGTCTCCCCACAGCAGCGCGAAATTAATGACCAACTTAACTTTCACAACCAAATCATATTTACTTAGTGCTCTGCTGAACATGATAGCGATTGATTACGACTATTATCGTTTGACTTTCTTAGGACAAATGAACCAATTTCGTGACGGACAGAGAAATGCACACATACCTAAACACATACAGACAAACTTAACGCTTTATTTACATCAGCTCTTTATTTCCGTTTCTTTTCGGTATGATTCCTACCTGCTTTCGCCAGAAGATCCGTCAGCTCAAGATATAGTGTAATGTGAGTTGCAAAATTGACTACTAACCGAAATGACTTAGGTCAAGCTCTTAAATACTTGTCTTCTCAAAGCTATCCTCTGTAACAGTTCTGCTCTGAAAAATGATCCTTACTCATTATTCGAGAAGCGGTTTAGCCGCTACGCGTTATTTTTTAGTGCACCTCAAATGTTTTGCTACAAATAGGTATTCCTCACCTAAGTTGTACACACCCTTTTCAAGAGCGGCCTGACGCTGAAAATACAGCAGAGCCGCAAACTACCCGAATGAGTTCTCGAATTTGAAACTTCGTGGCTACTTCGTTAACGGTCAAGTTGCATAAAAAAGAGAATTTTTTTGGATTTGGAGAAGCTTTCAATAGTAAATTTCGTTAATTTTAGAATGTCATGTTAAGCAATCACATGCGTTTTTTTGAACAGGACATCACAAAATGTGCGCATTGTTTGACCGCTTGACTTCTTTAGCCTCGTTTTTTATCCTCGCCTTTCCCATTGACGTAGGGTCTGTTATAGATTGTGCTATAGATATTTATCTATCCTCAATCTCAAGTCATTTCTGATTCTGCTGTTCTACCTCATCTTCGGCCTACCTCGTGTTTTTCTTCCAGCAACCTTCAGATGAAAGAAAAATCACTTTGAGCCGTAAACTTAGGGTTCTTAGTTTCTATAGCAAACCATAATTCTCTGCTTTGAAT